GCTATGGCAGAGTCTTGTGCTCCCACTGAGCCCCCCCACATCTGCAAGGGAGCCAGCAGACACCTTGGAAACCTCATGGACTGATGCAGAGATTCTGGACCTGATCGAGATCTGAGGGGGGGTAGGGAAGGAGATCAGTCCAACCTCCAGGATCTCCACACCAAGTGGCAAAATGCTAACGTCTACCGACAAGCTGGTCCACAGGGGGCACAGCCGCACTCTGTACCACGTGAGAATGAAGATCAAGGAGCTCCATCAGGCCTACACCGAGGCCAGGTAAAGAAGTTCCTGATCGGGAGTGGCAAGCCAGACCTGCCGCTTCTATGCCCAGCTGGATGGCATCCTGGGAGGGAGGCAGGTCGCCTTCCCTCCCACCATCATCATCGACTCCAGCCTGGACACACCCATTGTCAGCCTCCAGGAAGGTGGGGTGTGGAGGAGGACAACAAGGATGAGGAGACCAGCAGTGACACCATGCCCACCAACTAGGAGGTCAGCTTGTCTCTGGAGCCAATATCCGCCTCCCAGGATGGTACCCAGGAGTCAGACAAGGCCTGGGAAGGCCCATCAGGTGCCACAAGGTGGAGATGGCGGGTAGTGAGGGGCTCCTCGCTTGGCCTTCTCAGCCTGGGGATTGCTCAGCAGCCTGTGCACGTGGGTGCACATGCAGTGTCAGGCACAGCAACAATGAGGCTGCCACACAAGAACCTCGCCCTCCTGCTCACAGGACACCATCACTGCCAGACCCAGAATGTGCGTGGCATGGAGGAAGCTGCCCTGTTGCCCCCTCATGCAGTCTCCCAGCCTGGCTGGCACCTTCCCATGCCTACTTGTCCCTTGGACGTGGGGGTAGCGAGGCTCCCCTGAGATGTCTGTGCCCCTGCAGGAAAGTGCCCACTGTCTAGGTCACAGATGGCCTTGCTCGAGGCACTTTGCCTTCGTCTGGGTGGAGACCTCTTAGTGTTGGCTCACATATTAGAGCTAGGCTTCATGCATCCTGTCTCCTGGGATGACTGCCCTTGTCACTTTTCTTCACAGCTGGACCCCGTGAGACCTGCAGGCACTGGCAACCTCAGGAAGACCTGCAGTGTGAACACGTTGCCTGCCTATGTACCCTGCAGCAGTCTCTCGAGTGGCAGGACCACAGATTGGATGCCAGCCTGGAGCTGCGCTGCACCACCTGGCAGGAGCTGTTACATCAGACCCGGAGCACATGCACGGCTTACACTGCTGCTGTTCACCACCACCATCCCGCTCCTGCTGCCACTTCTGCCCTCATCCCTCTGGCTTCCCCCCAGCATCCCACCCTGTGGGTGCCAAGAGTCCCGCACATGAAGCAGGGTGATTACCCAAGGCAGGCATTAGTCCCAGCCCCAACTCTGAGCCTTTCCTCCCCCCTTCTCACCCTTCCACCCCCCTCTTTCCCCTTCCCAGTTTCTTTCCCCAGTGACCAGTGGTTCCCAACCTTCTGGGGTTGCTGGGGGCTCAGAGCAAGGGCCGCGCATGCGCTGGGCACCCAGGGCACAAGAATGGCTCAGGGCAGCCCTGGTCAATAGGCAGATGCACATAAATGCCCCGGCGGGCGCCATGGCACCCACGGGTACCGCGTTGGGGACCACTGCCCCAGTCCCTCCCCAGTTACATTTATCCCAATTTAAATAAACAGTTTATTGGTTCAAAACAAAAAAGTGTGGTTTATTGTGTCTGAAGGAGGGGTAGGGGTGGGAAAGGGTGGAAGAGGAAAGGCAGACTGGGGCACTGTAGAGTTCCCTCGTGGGGAGGCTTGAGGGAATGTGTCAGAGGTGTCCTTGTCAAACTCTCCCTCAGGGCCTCCCAGATGCGTATAGGCCCCTGATGGGCCTGCCAGATGGCAGTAGTCTGTGGCTGCTGAAGGCCCTTGCGAGCTGCGTGGCCTCTGCACCCCACCCTGGCAGGAACATCTTGCCCCTTGTTCTCACACAGGTTGTGCAGGATGCTGCAGACTGCCACCAGGTGGGGGGCATTCCGTTTGCCAAGGTGCAGGCTGGTGAGGAGACAACAGAACCTCCCTTTCAAATGCTGGCAGATACCCTCCATCGCAGTGCAGGCCCTGCTCAGCCTGCTGTTGAAACATTCCTTCATGGGGTCCAGATGTCCCATGTAGGGCTTCATTAGCCAGGAAAGCAAGCGGTAGGCTGCATCCCCTACAATGCACATAGAATACCAGGACTGGAAGGGACCATAGGCATGTTTATGTCCCCAACCCTGATGGTGCAGTCAGGGAAAAAAAGTGCTGACGTGCATCTTCTGGAACAGGCTGCTGTTACAGAAGATGTGGGCATCGTGTGCCTTCCCAGACCACCTGACAGTGTCGGTGAATCAGCCCTAGTGGTCCACAAGGGCCTGAAGCATCATTGAAAAGTACCCCTTCCTATTGATATAGTCAGAGGCCTGGTGGTTGGGAGCCTGGATGAGGATGTGGGTGCCCCCAATGCTCCTTCTTCCCCACCCCCCAAGTGGGGAAGCCCATGGCAACAAAGCCAGTGATGATGGGCTCCACGTTGCCCAGGATAATGACCCTGCACAGCAGGATGGTGTTGATGGCCCTCACCACCTGGAGAAGGAGACAAACAGAATCACAGGGTTGCCAGAGCCCTCGGGAGGTCCCCAAGCCCAACCTCCCTTCTCCCACACCGGGCCCAGTCTCAACTGAGCCCGTCCCCCTGCAGGGCTTTATGAAGGCGGGACTGACAAACCTTCCAGGGAGGGAGCTTCCACAACCCCCCCCTTTCCTAGGGAGCGCCATTACAGTGTTTCACCACCCTCCTAGGACAATCGTAAGAGAGTCATACCTGCATGAGCACAGCCCCAGTGGTCAATCTCCCCAGACCAAACTGGTTCCCGATGGAGTGGTAGCTGTCCGGCGTGGCGATGGTGACTCACTTCTTGAGGGGGATGGCAGGTCATATCGAGGAAGGAGGCAGGGGCAAGCCACTCGCACAGCTCCAGAAAGGTGGCCTTCCACGTGTGGAAGTTCTGGAGCCACTGCTGATCGTCCCACTGCTCCATAACAAGCCAGTCCCACCAGTCGGAACTGGTGTCCCAGCGCCTGAAGTGGCAGTGCACGGTGTACAGGGGAGAGGGGGAGGGGCTGTGCAGAGAAACGAGGAGGCGCCCCGCAGAGAGCAATGAGTCCTGTTCCTGCAGTGCCACGAGGGTAGCCTGCAGTAACTGCACCAAGGGGTGCGACAGGAGGTCTAAGAGCAGGCGACTGCTTTCCAGCAGGTCTGGCTCCATGGCTGGAGTGCTGTGGCATCCACAAGGGCAACCAGAGCATACAGTGGGGAAAGTTTGCTGTCCCTCAAGCAGGTAGGCAAAAGAGAAGAGCCTGAGACACGGCGCACAGGGGGTCCCTTTAAGCATGAGACTGGTAGCCTCAGGCAGCAGCTTCAGGAAGTGACTGCTGTCCTGATGCCCTGCCCGAAGTGCTTCCAAGGGGCTTTAAATGCGATTCAGCCTCCAATCAGTGTGGGCGCGCTATTTCAAAATAGCTCAACGCTATTTCGATGGGCATTTGCAGTGTGGACGTGCTATTTGGAGTTATTCCAAAATAGCTTATATCAAAATAAGCGTGTAGTGTAGACGTACCCTTACTGTACTGTTTTGCAGTTTCCCCACTATAAAGTGGGGCTCCCTCTATCTCACGGGAGATGAGGACAAATATTCACTGATGATTGTGAAGTGTTCAGATACCCTGGCTATGTGGGCCATGGACGTACCAATACAGGATAGCATGAATAGTATGCTGCATGGTGCACAGACAGCCAAATTCAGGAGTGATATAACTCACACATAAGGCCAAGTCCCTAATAGGTGTAAGGCAGCATAGTTCCATTGTCTTTAATGGATTCACACCACTTTATACTAGCTGTGGATTTGACATGGCATATAAGCTGTCCTGAAAACAGCAATGCAGTTATATCCCTTTCTGACCCCAGGATATGTAAGTCACTCTCATTTTCCATCCATTCCAACTCTTATGAATTCTGACAGATTTACACCCCAGTAGCTAGATTTATCCATTGCCCTACACTTTGTGTAGTTATTTAACCCACTGAAATGGCAAGCTCTTTGGAGAAGGGGCAGTATTTTTGTTATGTGGTTGTACAGCACCTTGGGACCCAGATCTTTTGGTGATCCTGAAGCACTGCTAGAAAAAAAAAGACAGCTTTTATCCTCATTTAGTCAGAGGACCTATTTCTGGTCTATATTACACCACTGTATATCAGGAGTAACTACGCTGCAGACAGAAGGCTAGCTTTTCCTCTGGTAAATCAGTGGAGCTCTGTTGACTTTACCAGCTCAGAATCTGGCCCCTTAAAGTTAAAACTGGTGTAAAGTCAGACCAGAATGAAACCCAGAGACTGCCATGGGAGTGTTCCCACATACTCCAGGGTGAATTTGGTCCAATTTATCTGCTTTGCAGCCTGAGGGCTAGAAAATTTGGCAAAACACTTATTTAAACCAAAGTTGCTGCCTCTCTCAGGCAGCTTTGCCTTATAAGGCACCTTAGTCACATACACATTTGTCTCCTTTATAAAGCCTCCCAACAGAAACAGATGGGCAGCATAAACAAGAGCTGAGACAGTTGTGCAGTGACAAGATGAGAGCTTGTTATTTTTAATGAGTCATTATTTATTCCCCCCTAGAAAAGATTAAACAAAACGATACACTGTACAAAACAGCAAATCAGTGACGATGAGATGTTGTCGGAAAAACATATTCCGATGGGTGGGGAGGAACAGAAGGTCAGTGCATTAATTGCTTAAGTCTGGGCACAACTTAACTGTGAACTGAAGCTGCCAGAAATGTCTGTGAATGATGCTGCTTTGAACTTAATTACTGCCTTTAAGTCAGCAGGGTCTTATATTTTTTACATATATCAAACCTTGATATTTGTGATAGAAATGTAGCCGTGTTAGTCTGGGGTAGTTGAAGCAAAATGCAGGACAATGGAGCACTTTAAAGACTAACAAGATGGTTTATTAGATGATGAGCTTTCGTGGGCCAGACCCACTTCCTTGATATTTGTGTGATGCAGGGAAGGTATATTTATCCATACAGTATTTTATAGATAGAGAAACCGGGGAAGTGAGAGCTGTGATTTGCTCAAGATCACATAGTAAATCAGTGGTAGAGCTAGGAACAGCTCTGAGTTCTGGTCCTCACTGCTGTTCTAAGCACACGACAACATCCCCCCTCCCTCTCAGAGCTAGGAGGAAAACTCAAGAGTCCTGACTCCCAGTTTCCTTTTCCTAAGCATTAAACTACATTGACCTCTCAGAGATGGGAATAGAACCTTGGAGCCTAAGGGGTCTAATAGGTGCTTATAATATGTCCTCGCTCATAGCCTCATACCCCAAATCTGGACATTTGAAAGGATTTTAAGGGAGTCAGGCACCCAATTCCTATTTAATTTCAGAGGGATCTGGGTTTCTAACTCCAGTAGGCTCTTTTTAAAATCCTAAACCAAAAAACTACGCAAGTCTGAATTATCCCATATTGTTAGTTCAATTATTCCATAGAGTCAGCTGAGCAGTCTATTAAGTCCCTCCTTTATAGCCTATCTCTGCCATGACACCTACAAATCATTCTTGTCTGATACTGGTTGCGACAGAGACAATTGGAGGCTACTATTTCTTTGCTACATGCTGTTTCTTTTATTATTCACTCATTGTTTCTACCCACTCAGTCCTATCCAGTATTTACATTGTAAAATGGTGGAGGCAGAAGTGGTCTTCTGTATTAAAATATCTGTTTAGTGCCTAGTACCATAGGGCCTTGATATTTGATTGAGTGAAAGAATGATTATAAAACTGGAACTCTAGAGAGTTAGGTTCAATTCCTGGTTTAGCCCTGGATTACCTGTGTGATCATGCCCAACGAGCCTAAATGCCTTTAAAAATCTGCTCATTGATCTATCCTTTGCCTCAGTTCCTCCAGGTATAAAATGAGGACAATACTTCCCTACATCACAGGGATGCTACTAGGATAAAGTCCACTAGTTAGTGATGAGAGATACAGAAGTACTGAGACTGTAGTTCCTACCTAAAATATTATAAACAAACAAACAAACACACACTATAAGAGAAGAGCTGACATTTTAAAACCACCTAAGAAATTTTAATAGGAATTAGAAGTCCAAATCTTTTAGGCAACTTTGAAAATAAGACCCACTTGAGCAAATGGAATCATCTGTTGTCTTGATTATTTTTGCAGTTCTAATGCCAGTATAATTTAGATTACCATCAATTTTAAAGGCCAGAAGGGACCATTATCTTGCATAATACAAGCCAAAACACATCCCCACAAATTCCTGCATCAAGCTTAAAAATTTGTGGTTGAATTAGAGTGTCTCAGTTTAAAGACTCCAAGTGATGGAGAATTCACCACATCCCTTGGTAATTTGTTCCAGTGGTTAATTATCCTTGCTGTAGAAAAGTTTCATCTTATTTCCAGCTTGGAGTGTGATGACTTCAACTTTCAACCATTGAATCTAGTTATGCTTATGTCTGCTAAAATTTACAATCTTCTAATCTGTTCTCTAACTTTTTTATAAAGAAGGATCATCGTAAAAGCCCAATGGATTTTTTCCTAGTTACTTTACTAATAAGATGGCAGATTTAAAAAAAAATCCAATTTAGAGGTTATAAAAGTTGCTTACAATCCATTTGAAAATTCAGGTTATCTGGCAAACAGCAAGTGATCAAGTTTTAAAACAGTAAATACAAATAGGAAGACAATTTGATTTAGAATAGCATGGGTCAACTTGATTGAGTTGTACTACATCAGTGAGCGAGTTACATGACTAATGTGAACTGTGATTCTTGATTACAGTGCTAATGAGAAATTCCCAAAGTATATGTGGTTATATTCCAATCTGCTTTTTTTCCCTTTAAATAAGGACCTCAGCAATATGGCATCTCTCACAGGATCTACTTTGACAAAGTTCTATGTAAAATAGTCTCTCGTACAGTCAGAATCAGGATCCTTTTGAATTAATATCTTGATATTCCCCCATATCATTCACATCACACCAAGTACAAATAGTTTAAAATGACAGTGCTTTTTTTAAAAAAGTAATATCCCTTACAATTTACTCATATCAGTAAAGTTAAAAGTTCTTATTGCTACGCCACAATTTATTGCTGCTGCTGAACTTATCTTGGCTTCATACATTTTTCAGTACTGAGCAGCATTCAAAGGCCTGCAAGAAGCAACATTAAAAATGTTGGCATGATGGGCATTGGGGAAAGTAAGCAACACACTCCTAAAAGCTTAATACCTTAGATCCACAATTGGGATTCCACACAGGATAAATTTCACTAAATTCAAGCTGGCCCAGTTAACCATATTCCCCTTGGGGAAAAATCTTATCTACAAAACCTCTACATTTTAAAGTCCTTCTCCCATCGAAGTCCCTTTAATTTTCATGTCAGGATTTCTTGCCTTCCAGAATCTTGTATCGCTTTTCCAGCTTGGTGTTTATCCATGACCTGAAGCACATCCTCCAAGATAGAAGGCCCCAGATCCACATGGAGGGAGAGCAGGGAACCAGCATGGGACATAAAGGGCTCATCTTTATTTTTTTCTTCAGCAAACCCATTCTGAGCAAGCAGCTCATTGGGGCTGCAGCAATGAGGGGCAGGCTCAGAAGTCCTGTTGTCCTTGGATGAAGTCAGTTCTGCCATAGCTTCCTTGCCTTGCAGCGCTGGTTGAAATTTGTCATCAAGGTGTAGCCTTGGAGGCTTTGGTGGAGCCTGCGTAGAGGGTAGCATCAGAGCCTGTGGACCACCAATGACAGGCAGCGAGATGGCATTCTTTAGAAGGGGAGAGGGCGTTTCAGACAGTGGTTGCTCATGACCAGAGATCGTAGCAGTTCTTGAGAACTCAAATGGCACTGCACAGTGGCTACCCCTGTCAGAATCTAGGCTACCTTCAGTCCTCGGTAGAAGGTGGAACTTCCCTTGCAAGAAAGAAATATCCCCAAACATATCATTCTCTCCACCACTCCCTATGTGAATAGTGTGTCTGAAGTCACCCAAGGGGGGGCTGATCATATCAGAAGAAAGGATGTCTCGGAGCTTTTCCTTCTTGCCCTTCCGACTGCCTCTCTTCAAGTAGATCGGGACCTTAGTGGACATCTTGGCAATTAAAATAAACCCTCAGGTGAGGGTATCGTTTTGGATCCTAAAAAACAGTCTTAAAAATAATCTAAATGTTTTCTGCCATTTTTTATAAAAAGATGTTTGGAAATTGAGCAGTAACATGTAAGAGAAAAGTTCTCACTGTCAAAATGCTTCAGGAAATTAATTCCAGCCACTCATAATTTCTCTTTCTAAAATTTGTTGGAGATGTCACAGGTAACAGAATGACCCAGGTCATTCATTCCAGGCACGTGTGATGTCTCCTGGGAGATTATCCACAAATCCACAGATCATCCATAACTTTTCAGGAAAGTTGGAATCAACAAAATGTATTACATCCAAGAAGATTTATCTTTGATCAGAATGAATGGAGAGGCATTAAAAAGTTGGACAAGTGACATGTTCCCAATGGAGGCGAAGATTAGGAACACACATCTTCACTCAGTCAATTTGTTCTGATCTAGCTTTTCTTGAAGATGAAAACTGTCAGCTCAGCAGCCGAGTATGATCATTCCCTGTCTCCACCCTTCGTAAGCCAGGTTCTACACTTCCAGTCAAACACTGTATGAAACAGATTGATAAAAAAGTTAGCAATTGGTTTTTAATCTTAGTCAAGATCAGTCATTTTAATTACACTGGAGAAGTTCAGTAACTATTTCCAGGTTGGACCTCCCTGGTCTGGCACCCTAGGGACCTGACCAATGGAGGTCAATTCCAGGCTCCCCCTGGGTCCATCAGCAGAGGAATCCCCTACCCCCAGCCACACAACTGCTGGGGCCATTGGGGTTCTGCTGCCCCTGGGCCTGGAGAGCTGCCTCAGCCTCACCCCAGGGCTGCTGGGGTCACTGGGGCACTGCTGCTCCCTCGCAGTCCTGGGACTGCTGGGGCAGTGGGACTCTGCTGCCCCCAGGGGCTGCCCAGGCTTCTGGGCTCCTAGGGCTTTCTGGTCCAGAGGCTCTTTGGCCCAGCAACTTCCATGGTTCTGCTGGACCATGAATGTTGCCCCACCAGAGAGTCCCAGACAAGAAAGGTTCACCTGGTAGTAACCTTTAAAATGATCATTGCTTTTGAAATTAATTCTGCTTTTCCATGATTGGCACCGAGTTCCACAAGCCAATGTGTACGAATGAGTCACAGAGATCAGGAGGACACCAAAAAAAAAAAAAAAAAAAAGCGAGTGAACGAGAGACACGTGAACAAAGAATATAATCCATAGTTATGTTGAGAAGATTAATAATTGTAAATCAGACCAAACTTCATGTCTTAAACAATCACTAAGTGCCTGGGGTTAGGAAGAAACATCAAGTGAAATTTTCCAACGTGCCTAAGTGTTTTCGGAACTTCCACATTAATGCTTTTGAAAATCTCACCCTTCTCCCATAAGTATGCTTCTGCAGAATTGCCCATCAGGTAGAATTTACAACTTTCTCTGATGCATCTGGACTGGTACTGGATACTATTTGGTCATTGGTCTGAGCTGACATAGCAAAGTGGTGGAAGTACCATGCTAGATGGATTATTAATCTAATGGGAGGAGTTGAGGATACTGGACTATGTAGGCCCATTGGTCTGATACAGAATGAAATGGGGGAATATTGAGTTGGATGGATTAATTGGACTGACCCAATATAAACAATTTTATGTTCCTGTATTTCAAAAAGCTTCCCGACTCCTCATCCATCGTTGGGATGGATGAGTGACAACTAACCAATTACTGGTCCCACTTATGCCTTTCTTTCAATACCACTACAAGAATTCCTGGATTCTTGGCTCCACTACTGATTTCCTACATGACGCTGGACAAGTCTCTTCACCTCTCCGTGTGTTAGCCTCCCTGAACGATAAAATAGAAATGACAACACTGCCCTAAGTCAGAGGAGGGCTGGGCAGGTTAAATAGCTCATGTATGTAAAGCTCTTTGAGAACAAAATATTATGAGCTCTTTAAGGAAGGGACCACCTATTGCTGCAAGCCTACAACAGCGCATTGCACAATAAGCCTCTGCTCTTTTAGCTGAGGCCTCTCAGCACTACCATAATGAAAACAACTGAGGAAACATAAAATACTATTGACCACAGGCCTATTTACACTCCAGTCAAACACACAATTATTCAGAGCAAGCAGACCTCTTTGCAATGCTCAGTAGACTCAGCACTTCTGGGAAGAAAAAAAGAGCGTCTGCCAAGCTGTACTGACACTGTAGGCCAGTTCTTCCTCCTCCAGACAATCCCAAGCCATGATGAATTTTGCAAGCGAGTCATTTAACATTCCAAAGTGAACCACATTTGCAGTGTTCCATTCCCAGCCACTTAAAAACAAATGCAAGGCAATCAGCAGAAAGCTCTGTTTGGACTCCAGGAGTTTGTTTTACGTTCGACTTTAAAGCCCCAAAAACTGTCTCCACAAAACCACTTTTTTAAAAAAACCTTTGTGCCAAAGGTAGAGTGGGAAGCCATGTGATGTGTAGTAATGAGAGGGGGAGTCGCCAAAGCATATCAATTTTGTTAAAAACTCAAGTCAGAATGGGTTTAAATGTCAGACTGCTAAATTAATTAAGCAGGATTCTCTTGAGGGCAGCTCTTCTTGCGGTACCATTTCAAGTATTAGCTCTGTTATGAGCTGGGTGGAACTTTGTTATAGATTGAATTAAAACCTCCATTTAAAGACAAAAAGTATATAGATCCATCCCATGGCTTTTGGCTGATTCTTTGGGCATGGGTGGGAGGAAGGCAAAACAGAAAAAATGAAGAAGTCAGAGAGCCTACAGGAGCAACTGAAAGTGTGTGCGGCTAACCCTGTTTGTATACCACAAAGCCCCAGAGGGACCAGCTCCAGTGATGCAAAAGTCTGACATCTTTTAGGAAAAAACTCCTGGGTCTCATTCTAACATTTTACCTCAAACCCGTGCTGTGAGATGGACAGAAAGGAGAGTTATTCACATCTAAGTGGAGTGGGCCAGCTCTGATCGTGCTGTAGAACTTACTCCCAGAAAAGAGCTGGAGTTATCCAGACTAGAGATGTAATAGTGTAACCGTTCAAGCAGTTAGTTAACTGAGACGCATGAGTGTATCAGTTACCATCATGGTTATACCTAAGTTCCCGGCCCCCCTCCAGGGGAGCCAGCTGCCACTCTGTGCTCCTGGTTCTCTATCAAGAGTCCACAGTGTGTGGCAGCAGCCAACTCCCTGGGAGCCAGTACAGATTAAAAGGAACCAGATTAAACGCTGGCTCCAGGCATGCACCAGCTCTCAGACAGCCAGCTGCCAATCCATGCTGTTGTGCATGGAGCGGCACCCGGCTCACCAGGAGGCAGGCTTCACCCAGAGTGGGGCAGCAGGCCGGAGTCAGTTGCTGCCCCACACTGCTGCCTCTGATACAGAGGTAGCAGCAGCCAGCTCGCTGGGAGCAGGCAGGAGCTGGTGCATGCCAGGAGCTGTCTTAAAAGCTGGCTTCTGGCGCACACCAGCTCCCAGGGAGCCAGCTGCCATCCTGTGCTGTGGGCTTCCCAGGGAGCTGGCTGCACTGCAGGCTCTGCAGTACAAGCTTTATACTCCAGAGCCCGCAGCATATAACCACTCCATTTTTTTAATGGTTACATGGTTACCTAATTAACTGCTTTTTAACATCCTTAATGCAGACATGGTACAGGCCCTTGACATGCAGTTTGGAGTCAGTTGTCAATCTGAGCAAGCCAGGGCACAGCTAAGATCTTTTTAAAAAAGGAGGGGGGGGAAGACTCCCCACTTGATCTAGCAGAGTAGCTAAAAAACGTATGGTCCTGGCATATCCAGATACCACAAAGGCCTTCTAGTACAGATGGGCAATGGATCAATGTGCAGATACTCAGCTGGATCCTGAGATGCTGATCAATATCGGCAAAAGGTCAAAGACATTCTGACAGGCTTTGGAATTTGCTACAGAACTTGAATTTTGAAGATGAAGCAGCTATTAGTGAGGAAGATGGAAGCTGGTGATCTTGAGCCCTGTATACACAATTCTGTATGTAATATATATGATGGAAAAGGGGATTCTCACCTGGATCATGACCTTATTAAATTATTAGATAAATAATAAATCTAATGTGTACATGGGAAACTGGCAAGAATTTAAAAGGTTAAAGGAAAACAATTTGTTAAGTTCTGGTACTGTAACAAAACCGGCCACAAAAAAGGAATGTTATCAATGTAAGGAAGGCCAAAACAGAATGTCACAAGTGCAGTGAAAGACCTTCTCCTAAATTTGAGAAATGGTGGTGCACTAAGCTGAAGGGGAAAAGCTGGGGGTACAAAGATCAGCCCTAGTTTTTGTTTAGATCTGGGCAGCTAAACAATAACAACAGGAGTTTGGCTATTGAGTGGGCATGGGATCCATGATGTGTATTTTCAAGGGAATCTTAGCTCCTATAGTTCTTGTAAATCTGAAACAAGAACTGACCCCATTTCCTTTGCTTAAGGTCTCTGGCAAACAGCAAATAGTGAGAAAAAGCACTGCAGCTGCAAAATGTGAGCTGGGTATCTGGTAAATAATGTTAGAAAGGAAAACAACAAGGGCTAATGTGAGCTCCCAGAGCTGGACACGTTCCAGCACCATGCTGTACACTCGCACCAGGAACAGCAGAACAACCTAAGGGCTGGTCTACACGAACATTGAAGTCGATCTAAGTTACACCAGTTCAGTTACATAAGTTACGTGACTGAAGTTGATATAACTTAGATTGGCTTACAGCGGTGTCCACACTGCAGTAGGTCAATGGGAGATGCTCTGTCGTCAACATAGTTTCTCTCTCTGACGAAGGTAGACGTGGAGGAGAGCACTCTCCCGTCACGTTAGTATGTCTTCCCAATGCCTTCCCAAACTACTAGATTGCCCCCCCCGCCCATTCAGCTCTGCCAGCCATCCCCATGCTCTGAAGCCAGGAATGCTGGAGCTGGACCTCCTGCCTGCCCTCCTGATTCTCTGATTGTGGGGGGGAGGGTTCAGGCCACCCATGCTTGGGGAGTTGCCTCTACAATGGGGGTTGGCTCCCACGGGGGCCATGGGTGGCAGAGGCAGGTCTTGAGAGGAAGAGGCGGGGCTGAGGGTTTGCCCATGATACCGGGAAAAACCAACCCATGAAAACAGCCGCACCGGTTACCAGTAGCTAAAAGGGAAGAGGCACTACAGGCCATCACAGAAATGTATCAGGAATGGGAGGCATATCAAGCCTTCAACCAGTCATGGGGCTTACCCACAGTTCTCATTAAGAAAAGATGGCAGCACCAGATTCTGTATGGACTGCAGAAAATTAAATAACATAAGAATGGCCATACTGGGTCAGATCAAAGGTTCATCTAGCCCAGTGTCCTGTCTTCTGACAATGGCCATTGCCAGGTGCCCCAGAGGGAATGAACAGAACAGGTAAGCATCAAGTAATCCCTCCCGTCCCCCATTCCCAGCTTCTGACAAACAGGCAGGGGCACGATTCCTGCCCATCGAGGCCAATAGCCAATATTCTCCATTAATGTATCTAGTTGGTTTTTTTAATCTTATTAAAGACCTGGTCTTCACAGTATCCTCTGGCAAGCAGTTCCACAGGTTGACTGTGTGTTATGTGAAAAAATACTTCTTTTTGTTTATTTTAAACCTGCTACCTATTAATTTCATTTGGTGACCCCATGTTCTTATGTTATGGAGCAAGTAAATAACTTTTCCTTATTTACTTTCTCCACACCAGTCATGATTTTATAGACCTCTATCATATCCTCCCCTTAATCTCCTTTTTTCTAAGGTGAAAAGTCCCAGTTTTATTAATCTCTCCTCATATGGCACACGGGCTTTTTCTTCTTCTTCTTCTTCAAGTGCTTACTTTTAGTTCCAAACTAGGGGTGTGCATGCCACATGTATGAATGTTGGAAGGTCAGCTAGTGGAACCCATCAGGTCAGCTATGGAGACTCCTGGGATGGCATCTTCATGGTGGTGTATATAGCTATGGCCATAACCATGAGGTGCAGCTCTTGGGTTCAGATTTCTGGGCTCCTGCATGAAGTCCAAAATACAATCCCTGCCCTGGCCTGCAGACAGACTCAAGGCTGCATACCATGAAGGGCTCAACGGCAACCCTCAAGACCTGAGAATTTATACACCGGCCCCTCAGAGGAAGCCACTGAGATCCCAGGTCACCCCATGGTTCTGTTCTGCTCCTCACTGACAGGCTTGCAAGAAGGGGCGGGATCGCCCCCTGAACTCACTGATGGCAGGAAGTGGAGTGATGCAGCTGGAAGCCAGGGGAGCAGAGCAGAGTGGGGCTGGGTTGCTCCTTTTCCTGCTGCTGCAGTGAGCCTCAGGGTGGGCTTGACCCCTGCTGCTGGTGCCAGGCCCCCTGCTTGTCCCCTGGGCTGCATCACTCCAGGGAGGGGGCTTTGGAAAAGGGGGCGGGAAGAAGCAGGCTGGACTGAGGATGGAGGGTGTGTATGTCTCAGACCTTGCACTTGCCTAGGGATGGACCTAGTATTGGCACATGGCAGTGGATCCAAAAGAGAAGGGGAAAGTAGCTTTCAAAGCAGGACAAGGCTTGTAACAATTGAAAGTGGTGGGTTTCGGTTTGTGCAGTGAGTGGCTAATGGAGAATGCATCATATGGATGCCCTCTCAGCCTGTCTTGTTATACTGAGATGATATTCTGGTGAATGCTTAAACATTTGATCAGGAACTAAAACATTTACACATAGTCTGTGATATGCTGAAGGAGGCCGATTTGAAACTGAGCCCAAAGTAGCGTGAGTTGTTCCAAAAAGTGGTGATCTGTAGTAGGCACACAATTAGCAGGGGGGAAAGGAGGGAATTTCCCCTGGGAAAAAGAAAACGCAAGCTGAATAGAGCTGGCTAGCTCCCAAGATGCTCTCAGATGTTCTGGGTTTCTCAGGGCTCTACTCCTGTTACTCAGGGTTATTTGTGGGTTTGCCACTATTGCAAAACCACTGCACAGTTTGGGTGAGAAAGGGAAAACACTTCACTAGTCAGCAGAGTATGATGTAGCATTTTCAGAGTTGATTAAGACTCTTGCCCCAGACATGATTCACACCCCTTTCATTCTGGAAACAAACAGTAGTGCTTACAGATTGGGGGGCAGTTCTGATACAAGAATACAAACACTTGAAAGGGTGGTAGTTTAATCTAGTAAAAAGTCCAAGTTCTCCTGAGAGAAATTATTGCACCACACAAAAGGAGCTCTTAGCAGTGGTTACATCTATAAAATGTGTTCATTACTATTTGTGTGGAAGGAAGATTATGTCATGTTTCCCTGTAAGGGCTCTTTAGATTCAGGAATCTTTGAAGGACAGCTTTCCAGGAGGTTGGAGAAATTACAATGCTACAATTTCGCAATCATTCAGAGGCCTGGCCATAAGTATGGTAATGCTGAAGCCTTGTCCAGACAGGCCTCTTGCACAGCTAATTGCTCCAAAAAGAAAAGAAAGGAATTAGCTGCTCAAGGGAACGGGAAGACCTCCCTTTCTCTAGTCTCAGGCAGATCTATACTTACAGGATCAACACTGCAGCAATTGATCCCTCACAGGTTGATTTAGAGGGTCTAGTAAAGTCTCACTAAATTGATCACTGATCACTCGCTCATCGACTCAGGTACTCTGGAACATAAGGGGAGGTGATGGGAGAGTTTCTCCTGTGTGTGTTGTCCGTCCGTCCGTCATCCCCGCCCGCAGTGGAGACCCCGTGGTAACTCAATACTTTGAAAAAAAAATGTCCTAAGGTTATCTCATGATCTTACCACTGTAGGAAATTTTGGGGTTGCAAAAACCTTAGACAAACTAGGGACAAGTTCTGTTGGTTAAAAGCAGCCAAAATATAGACAGTTGGTGCAAGAAATGTGCCATTTGCGTTGCGAAGAAGGCCCCCCTAAAACAGGGAGAACCCCTTTGTAGTGTATCATGAGGGGATGCCAACAGAGTATATTGCCACTGCTGTTCTTGGAAACTTTGTCTGAGACAGAGGCTGACAAGCAATACCTGGTAGCTATTAGCTAATGGACTACTTCACAAATGGTCTAAGGCTTACCCAATTAAAAATCAAGTAACAGTGACCATAGCAGGGGTCCAAATGAATGACTTCTTCTCCAGATCTGCAAGCTTGGGTGAGTTACACATAGAGCAAGGGAGAAACTTTGAATCCAAAGTGCTTCAACAGTGGGGATTTTTTTTGTTTTTTTGTGCAGGTCTGAGGGACAGGTCAGCTGGCAAACTTTAAAAAATAGTATCAAAGGGACTAGAACCAGCATATTCCATTCCTTTTGATAACTGAATCCTGGTCTACACTGAAAAGTCAGGTTGAACCAGCTGTATCGCTTAAGGGTTTGAAAAATCCACGCATACCCTGAGCAGTTAAGTAACCCAACCCCCAGCTACACCAAACAGGAGAAACTCTCCCATCAGCATTAGTGGTGTCTACACTCATATTGCCACCTGCTGCTGCTGAGCCACGATGGCAATCCAAGAGTCGACAAGGCCTTAGAACAGCCATCAATGTGTACCCCAGCACTCCTCATGTTTTGGCAGATGCTAAAGCACTCTCTTGTATGGAGCTTTTGAAGTGGAACAAAGGCATGGATGGTTGTGGTTGGTACAGTTGGGGTGAGCACAGGCAGGCTGCCAGCCTCATCTACAGCCCCACCCACTCTGCTGAGCGCTCCCCAGCCTCCCTGGAACACCAGAGAGAGGAAAGAGAGGGCAGAGGAGCATGCATGCAACGCAGCTTCTAGAGCACTATGGGAGGAGGTGGTTCCAGCCTCCCCAGCCAATAGGGTTGTAGGTGTCCGGTATTCAACCAGTTTTTGCGCCCTCTGTCCGGTAAAAAAATTCAGAAAATACCAGACGTGCAATTTCCAGTATTTTCTGGTTTTCCAGCTGGGCGCCCAACAGAAGCCTGGCAGGGGCGGGGGGAGTGGCTGGGAGGCGGGGCGCGATCGGCGCTGGGAGCCTCTGTTGCGTCTGACGTAGGAGTAAGTGATGCCTTGGGGAGGAAGAGAAGCCCTGACCCTGCTCCTGAGTGCTGTTCAAGCGTGTTGTGGCTCCGTAGTCCAGGAGAGAAGCCCACAGGTGCTTCTTAGTTGCATTTAGGAGCCTTCCATGGGCTCTCAGCCAAAACTGACTGGGGTGGAATTTCTGCTTCTTCCTACTGGGACACCCAAAGACCTGGCTGTGGGGGAGTCGCCTTCCTAGCCATGGTCATCTCCCCCCTCCCCCACGATTGTGTTGCCCCAGGGTCTGCCTCTCTCTGCTTTGGGTAGCAGGTGGATAATTTGCAGAGCAGGCTCTGCTGCCTCCCCTCCATTCCCCTCCCAGCTGGTCCCTTCCCCCACCACATCAAGAGTGTCCGGTATTTTTCTGAAGCTAGCTGGTAACCCTACCAGCCAGAAGCATGAGGAGGCCAGGCTCTGGGGGCAGCAACACTCCGCCCCAAAAATGCCTACAGTAGGCTCTCTGGGAGCAGAGTGTGGGTGGCTGGTGGTTTGGGAAGGCAGAGCTTTCCCTTGCCTAAGCCACCCGGATGCCCATGAACAAAGGGATTTGAACTATCTGGACTCGGCAGAAACCCTACAACCCAAACCTGCAAAGGTTCAAACCTTTGCTAGGGAAAGTCTGAAGCTAGCATTTGACAGAATGAAAAGGCTCTATGATAGAAAGGCACTTACAGAAACTTTTAAAAGAGGAGATGAGTCTGGTTCCACAATCCTTGAAGGAAGGTGGACAAAAGCCCTACACTGGATACATTTTGTGAGGGACCATACATAGTACTGACCCAAATAAATGAAGTGATGTCACAACACGGTTGGATCCCAGGAGTAAGCCCAGAAGTTATCTTCTCAGATGGCCCTGATGGATATCGGGGACAGAATTTCAGCTTGGCTATCCCCTGAATCTGAGAACGTAGTGGTGGAAACTGAGATGGGAAAAGTTGTTAGAGGTGAATTCCTCGTTAGAACAAAATGGTCAGGCTCTATCTCAGCCATCAAATTCCACAGAAACAACCACAACAATGGGAAAAAAAGCCTCAAAGGGATTAGGGTAGGAATAAAATTGCTTTGGGCTGGTGATGGGAAACCATCTCAACAGAAGATACTATATTTGTGTTAACTTGTATGCTTTTAAATTTTTTTCTTTTTGTTTGGGATGGGCTCTTAAGTGACACCAGGGGAAGGGAGGAGGGCAGGGAGGAGGCCGGGGCTGGCTGCAGATGGAGGGGGGAGGGCGAGTGGCTGGGGAGGGGGAGACAAGGGGGCCAAGGCTGGCTGTGGCTGGAGGGAGGGTGAGGGGGGAGCAAGAGGGGGCCAGAGCTGCGGCTGGGGGCGGGGGAGTAGCCAGGGAGGAGAGCCAGGCATGCTTACCCCCAAAGACAGGGAGGTTGGTGAGCATAGTGAGCAGGAAGCACCACCCCTAGTTCTTTGAAAATAGAGGTTTGCCCCAAAACCTCACTTTCATACCTTAAAAGTATTGGGACAGATCCTCAGTTAGTACAGCTGCATTAACTTTAATGGAGCTATGTCAATTTATAGCAGCTGCAGCTCTTGTCGTTTTATTTTAAGGGGAAACTAAGGCCCACAAATGATTGGCTCCGCAGAAGGAAGTGTTCTCACAGCATCAGGCTGTCAGGGCTGTGCTTGGTCAGTGCCTCTACCACTAACTAGTTCAAGGAAAAGAGCTATCACTATACCTGGTGCCTGTGTCTACATTGGCACCCCTTTCCGGAAAAGGGATGCTAATGAGACATATCCCACGCGGCATTTGCATTTACATGGTTGCCGCTTTTTTCCGGCTCGGGGTTATGCCGGAGAAAAGTGCCAGTCTAGACGTGATTTTCCGGAAAATAAACCCTTTTCCGGAAGATCCCTTATTCCTACTTGAAAATAGGAATAAAGGATCTTCCAGAAAAGGGTTTATTTTCCGGAAAATCACGTCTAGACTGGCACTTTTCTCCGGCATAACCCCGAGCCGGAAAAAAGCGGCAACCATGTAAATGCAAATGCCGCGTGGGATATGTCTCATTAGCATCCCTTTTCCGGAAAGGGGTGCCAATGTAGACACAGGCACCAGGTATAGTGATAGCTCTTTTCCTTGAACTAGTTAGTGGTAGAGGCACTGACCAAGCACAGCCCTGACAGCCTGATGCTGTGAGAACACTTCCTTCTGCGGAGCCAATCATTTGTGGGCCTTAGTTTCCCCTTAAAATAAAACCCATGATAGTCCTGATTTTGACCATTTTGAAGTCAATGGAGTTACATACTGTGCCTGATTCTGATCTCACACTAATTTTACACCCCAGCAACTTTATTATTATTATTATTCCTGATTTGCAGCACCACAAGTGAAATCAGCATCAGGCCTCATAAGTGCTGATTTTTAATACTGGATAAGTCTGATCTCTGGAAAGGTGTACACGCAAAGGTCTTTCTAAGCCGGGGTCTCAAACTCCTGACCTGCAAGCCAATCCCAGCTGGAGCAATTGCACAATCCAGCCCAAGACTTCTGGTAGGGTTGGGGGAGCCTGTCCTTTACCAGCCCTCAAAGCTCTGCCTCTTCCCACCATCACTCTGCCCTCTCCCACCCATGACACCCTGTCCCAAAGCACCCAGGGAGGGAGTCCTGGCGCCATGCGGCAGGAGCAGTCATTCACTCCCACATACACTAGGGCTACGTCTACACTGCAAGCTTTTTGCACAAGAATGTTCTTGCGCAAAAACTTGCCGAGTGTCTACACTGCACGTGCGTTCTTGCACAAGTAAATTTACAGTACAGCTTCGGAAAACAGGGCTTCTTCTGGAAGAGTTATTCCTCTCCCCACCAGGAATAAGCCCTCTTGTGCAAGAGTTCTTCCATAAGAAGTCATTTTCTTGTGCAAGAAACCCCTATGGCTAAAATGGCCATCAGAGCTTTCTTGCGCAAGAGAGCGTCCACACTGCCATGGACACTCCTGCGCAATGTGGATACGCTCGTGGAAGACCTTTTGCACAAGAACTCTTGCACAAAACAGTTCTTGTGCAAGAAGCCTGTAGAGTAGAAGTAGCCTAGAAGCAGAGGACAGTGGAGTGAATGCACCTGCCCAGTGCACTCCGCTTCCCCCGCAGCTCCTGCCACCACTGGGAACGCGGAAGCATGACTGCCACTGTGGTGCCAAACCTCCCCTCCTCCCAGTAACAAACAAGCTTTGTGGCGCTCAACTTGCTAAGCAAAAATGTTGCTTTTCTCACTGAGATCTGACTCCCAAGAGAAGGGGAGAAGGACTAGAACATGCAACACAACGAATCACCTCCTGCTACTACTCTGGGGGTACGTCTACACTACAGCGCTAGTTCGAACTAACTTAGTTCGAATTAGTTAATTCGAACTAAGCTAGTTCGAACTAACGCATCTAGAACTAAAAACTAGTTCGAACTAGCGTTTTGCTAGTTCGAACTAGTAAGTCCACATTGAGTGGACTCTGAACAGGGCTTAAGGATGGCCGGAAGCAGTGCCGGCAGGGCATAAAAGGAGGACTTAGAGCATGGAGATACTGTCTCAGGCTAGCCGAGGGCTGCGCTTAAAGGGTCCCGACCCCCACCCCGGACACACAGTTCTAAGGGGTGCCCCGCTTGCAAAGAAGTTCTGGCTTGGAGTGCCCTGAGTGCCCACACTGGGCACATCACACCACTCGGCCATCAGCCCGGCTGCACTTGCCGCAGGCTGCCATCTGGGGAGAGGGAGTAATTGGGGGGCTGCAGGAGAGCTTCCACCCCCAGAAGCCCGCAGAGCCAGCCCAGTCCTCCCCATCGGGGGCTCGTACCCCATTCCTCCCTCACCTCCTTCCACTTACCCTTCCCTAGCCCCCCTTCTTATTGATGTACAAAATAAAGATAACGTTTCTTCCAACATTGACTCTGTCTTTATTGAAAAAAACTGGGGGAGACTGGGAAAAGGAGGTGGGAGAGGGGAAGAGAAAGGCTGGGAGAGGGGAGGGCAACTAACATGATCAGGGGTTGGGAACAGGTCCCAGATGAAGAGAGGCTACAGAGACTGGGACTGTTCAGCTTAGAAAAGAGGAGACGGAGGGGGGACAGGATAGAAAAGCCCCGTTAGTAAGTGCGGATCCGACATAAGTCGGATCCACGTAAGTCGGGGACTGCCTGTACAACGACGTTACAGCAAGACTGAGCCTGATGGACCCTGAGTTCAATTCCAGGCTCTGGCCTACTGGGTGACCCTGGGCAAGTGACTGCCCCTCCCTGAGCCTCAGTTTCCCTACCTGTAAAATTGGAACGATACCGATGCACTCTGAGACATATGGATTAAGAGAGAAGTATTAATTTATTATCATAGTGTCACCAATCCTAGTCTGTTTTACTACGGACAGGGAAATGGGAGTATAAAACTGCAGTGCTTTATTATGGATAATAATATCAGAAAGAAAACCTGCCACCCAACATGGCTTGCACCCAGAAGATAAATATAAATGTTTGGCAGTCATGGAATGGGATTTTTAAAGGTGCCTAAGGAACTCCTCTAAAGATTCCACCGGGAATCTTACCATGATCAGATTAGAACTCTGTATTTCAATGGCTATTGTGACAAAACAGAGCAGCCCTGTAACCCCCTCCTGCCCTGCACAGTGAATGGCAGCCTATTCCTTTCTGTAATGTGCACCACGCCCTGTTCTTTATAAAAATAGCAGCCTAGCCCTGTTTGTGCCTGTTACTGATGAACAGTTTCCCTTTTGTGTCCTTCCTTCTTGGCAAAGCCTTAGAGGTTCAGTTTAACGGCTCCTTGCAGCACCTGCTCTGACAGGCTAATAGAAACCCCTCCCATCAGGGATTCAATGGCCTACCACTCCCCCAGACTCCAAAACAAAGGCATCCTGTGATAGAGGCCCTCCCCTGGGAGAGCTGAGGCACATGGCACTTTGGCTATTCAAGGGGCAGTGCTTAGTATTGTGATGCTGTGTCCATTGAAATAATTGGTAAAGCGCCCAATGATGTAACTCTGCCAGATCAAGCCAGTTCTCATTTACACTAATAAGGCTCAGGTCATGTAAAAGGGTCCTTTGCATCTACTTTAGGGCCCTTACTTTAGCAGAGTGGTGTAAAGGGGCTGCAGTGTAAATAAGAACCAGAGACTCGTAGTCTGGACAAACCAAACACAGGCTAGATCACAGATGATGGGTAACTGCTTTTATGACTGTACTGCCAAGAAACCAAAAGGAATTAGGGACCCCTGGCTTGAAATGATGTGGCTGCAAAAATAATTTTTCTAGCCTGTCACTTTAACCAGTTCAACCCTCCCTTTGAATCCCCCCACTGCATAAAGCATAAGCTGCTTCTGTTCACCTTCACAGCACTTCTCCATCAATCTCCCACCCACTCTGTTTATCATGCCTCCTCTGCTGTTGAGCTGTCAATGGTCACCTCTGATTGGCCCACGGTGCAAGCCAAGCCTGCATTGCCCACTTGTTACATTTTCAAACATGGTCCTTTGTGCTCTCTCCCATGCAGCCTCTCCCATTTGGGAGGAGCTCCCTATGAACATGCACAAAGCCACCTCACCATCCAACTTCAAATCCCTCCTCTGCTGGGAGGCCTACAAACAACTTGACCCCAGGCTGCTATTATGCTGCGATCTCTGCCTATCTATCATGCCTACCAACATTGTGTCCTTGTTTCCCTCCCCATCTGCCTGTATCCATCTGTTGTCTCTCGTATTAGAGCTAAGCTCACTGGCGCAGGGACCAACTTCTGTCCCATCTGTACAGCACCTAGCACAATAGGGGCCTAATCCATGACGGGTATTCCTGGGCTCTCTGGTAATATAAATAATAATTGTGCTAGGCACTGCGCAGATAGGAAGGCCTCGTCTACACTTGGAAAGGTTTGCCAGGACAGCGATGCAAATACATTTATTCCAGCAAACATACCTAGTGCAGATGCAGCTTAAACTGGCAAACATGCTTTTGCTGGTATAGTTTACACCAATTCCTTGAACAAAATAAGCTGGGGGGGGGAGGGAAATCACACCCCTAACCATCATTACTGTACTGGCAAAAGTTTCAGTGTGGAACTGGCCATACTAAGAGACAATCCCTATTCCAAAGAGTTTACAATCTAAACAGGCAAGACATATGAAAGGTGGGAGGAAAACCAAGAGGAACATGTCAAAGCAAGTAAGGGCAGAGCTAGGAATAGAACCCAGATCTTCTTGATCACATTCCAGGAGTTTCCACCCCAAACCTATGAAATGATACTCTGGTGTATGTGTCAGGAGAAAGATGGAACATAAAAAGAAAAGTTCAGACCAGTCCAATTCCAGCTATTCAGACACTTAATTCTACTGGACATAGAAATAAAGGCAAGGCAGGATTCTTAACACAAGACTTTTATGACAAACCAGGTAGGAAGGACGCTTTTGCAGCTAAGGCATTGAGGGCCCAGTAGTGCTCTCACATCAGGATAAATCAGGACTTAACATCTCTGAAGTCGATGTGTAACACTGCTGTGAGCTGGGAGTCAGAACAGCTGCATTCTACTCTGGGCTCTGCCACCCAGTCAGCAGGATGTCCGTGGCTGAGGCACTTCCTTTACCTACCTCCTAAGAGTTCTGCTAAGCTAAAATTCAATAGCATTTAGTAAGGGAGTGACAATATGATCTAGTGGCTAGAACAGTGGGCTGGGACCCAGGAGTCCTGAATTCAGTGCTTGCTTCTGCAACCGCTTTGCTGGATGACACTGAACAAGTTACTTCCCCTCTCTGTGCCTTAGTTTCCCCATCTGTAAAGTGGCAAAACTGATTTGTAAAGCACTTGGAAATCTACTGGTAAAAAGCATCATGCCTGAGTGAGGGATTACTTGTATTTCAGCTGCCCCTTGGAACAGGACCCCATTGCGGCTACGTCAACACTACAGAGTTTTTGCAGCAAAAACAGCTGTTTTGCCGCAAAAACTCGCAGAGCGTCCACACTGTAAGCGCGTTCTTTTGACAGTAAATTGACAGTGTGGTAAACCTCTTTCTACGAGGAAGAAGCCTTTTTCCAAAAGAGTTCTTTCAGAAAAAGGCATGTGAGAAGGGAAGTTCTTTCGAAAGAAGAGGAAAGAGCAAATAGCACAGCTGCCCTGGTGGTTACTTTGCCCATAGTAATCACAGCTTAAATGCGAGATCACGTCCATTCAGTGTGGACGCTATCTTTCGAAAAAGCAGATCGCTTTTTCAATGTGCTTTGTCTGTGTGTACATGCTCTTTTGGAAGACATTTTTCAGAATCTCTCTTCTGGAAAAACTTCTTCCGAAAAAATCCTGCAGTCTAGACGTAGCCTGTGCTAAGTGCTGATCAAACAAGGACTGAGACAGGCCCACTCCCAAGAGTTTACAACACTGTCCCAATTTTCTTCATCCCATCCCACTGCAGGATGAGGGCCTTCAGCAGCAGGGGGACTGGACCAATAGCAAGAGATTGATTCCTTGGCATGTGCTCCAGTGTTGGCATTGTAAACACTGAGAGGAAATGCTTATTTATTAGCATAGGAATTAAACAAAACAAAACAAAAAAATCACAGAAATTTCTTGGGTTATTGAACAGCTTAATTTGCAGAATCTTTAATAATAACCCATAGCTCTTGTCACCTGTAGGTCTGAGCACTTTGCAAAAGAGCTCAGGATTATTATCCTTATCTGACAGAAGGGGAAACTAAGGCACACAGAGGGGAAAAGGACTTCCTCAAAGTCACTGAGCAGGCCAGGGCAAAGTCAGGAATAGCACCCAGTTCTCCTAAATCCCAGTCCTGTGCTTGTCCTGAGTCTGTTTTACTTCCAGTCCCCACCCCATCTGTGGTTTGTATAGTAATTGATACCTGTATAGAGTGGAGGTAAGCCAGTAGCCAAATCAGAGCTTTCCACTCATTCACACTCAGGCTGATTAGCCACAGCATTACCCTGGGTTTTTGCCAATGTGACTCCATTTTCAGTTAAATTACAGACATAGAACAGGATTAACAAAGTGGTGAATTCTGGGGCACCTAGCAGTCTAGTTTTGCACCCACTCTGCAGAAGAGTTAAATCAAGACTCCATGATGTGCTTACAAGGGAGAATCAGCCTCCTCCCCCCCCAATCTTTAGCTTTTGAGACTAAAGCTTTGTCTATTGACATACACTGGTGAAAAGCCAGTGTTACACCAATTAATTCAGTGGAACTGCTCCTGATTTACACTGGCATAAGCAAAATCAGGATCTGGGATCTTAGCCAGAAGTTCCAACTCCTAGGGCCAGATTCTCCACTGACCTGCACCTTAAAACATTCCCCTGTTTCCCCCTGACACGTGCTGGCTAGTTTTCTAATACAATATAAGCACAGAGAGTTTGGATTGGAAGCATGCTAAGGGACAGTCCTTAACAGAGAATCCATCTGGTTCTCCCATACATCCACTAGATGGCTGTGTCTGTCAGGGATCATCTTCTTAAAAGAAGTTTCACCTTTCCAGCCCCACATATGTCTCTGCATTACAAGGGCAGGGAAGGGTCATTCCCCTCACCCAACCCACTGAAAACTATTTGTTTAATGCTCCAGGGAAAACTTTTGCCCTGAAGAGCAATGTTTTAAAAATTCCCAAGACAGATTTATCTGTAGAGTGAATACAGCCTACATCCCCATCCCCTGTTTTATCCAATAACATTACCCATCCCCCAAAAAAGCCTAAAGCCAATCCTGTGTCCCTCCCCCCCCCAACAAAAATTATTCTTCCTGACCCTGTAAAACAGAACACAAAGCTCTGTGGCAAAACAGTCTGAAAAGAACATTCTTTCTCTCATGGTACTTCCCATTCTAGCACTCTCCACCCTGGAGTCCCTCCTCCCCTTGTTCTGTCTCCTCCCTACACTGGCTTGCCCTGCAGTTAACTCCAAGTTAAGCTAGCTCACAACGGAGCTAGGCAGTAAAGTGTATGTGCAAGTCCCACAAGAGGGGTGAAGCACTCAGAACTACCCTTCTCTGACAGATCATTACAGGTTGAACCTCTCTAGTCCAGCACCGTTGCGACCTGACTGGTGCCAAACCAGAGAATTTGCCTGATCATCAGAGGACAATATTGTCTAGCAGCATTACCAACAATTCCACTGCTTACTGGGCTCTAGAAGACATTTAAGAGTAAATTAGAGCTAAGTAACAGCACAGAACACTGGAAGCCAGGACTGTGGTGGCCGTAAACAAACTTTATGGGACCGCGGGAAACTTAGCCACACACCCATGATAAGTGAACACGGGGCTAACTAAAATCATCCCAGATCACGGATGCTGCCGGAACAGAGAGGTGCCGGACTAGAGAGGTTCAACCTGCAGTTACAAAAATGCCACGAGAGACCATATTAGCCTAGCAGCACAGTGCGATGGGGAGGGATTGGCATAGCAAAGCAGATGGGCTTTGGGAGCAAGGCCAACCTTAAGAAGTTCTTTATTCCAGGACACCCAAGATATTAGCTTTGTTAGTAGCCAATAATGTGCCAGCATACCTGCGATATCTAGGTGCCAGGCAGTGCAAAGTCAGGCTAGTGGCAGGTATTCCTATGGCAAGCACCTGCTGCTGGCTAAGTTACAGAACGCCAGTGACACCGTGCAGCATTTGAACTTGCTCCTTGCCTTGGCCAGTTGGAGAGGAGAGAATCATCCAAGAACACGGGGGAAACTAAAGAAGGTAAAGGTAGGACCAAACTTCTGAACCCATAAAACGAGTCTAACTGTAAGAAGAAAACAACAAATGGTTTGGTAGCATTTTACAGACTAACGAAACATGTCTATAAAGTGCTACCAGACCATTTGTTGTTTTCTTCTGTAACAAACTAACTCAGCTACCCCCTGAAGCTCCTGTAAGAAGAAAGTAATGCAGGTTAGTGGCTAAGATGTGGCTGAGCATCAGAAAAAATGGGTTCTAGGCTCTTCCCCTCCCTTTGCCAGTTCACTGTTTCCACTAACACCTTTTATCTGCCCTGTGGGTTTACATGGTATACTTTTTGGAGCAGGGTCAATATCTGTCTGTACAGTGCCAGGCACAGTAGGATCCCATTCTCTGTTAGGGTCTCAAGTTGCTACTGAAATATAAATAATAATGTAACAAATACTTTAAAAGAGGTAGTGGGCTTAAATGGCAGCAAGAGTGGTTTAAATTGGACATTAGGAAAAACTTCCTGTCACATTAGTTAAGCATTGGAATAAATGACCCAGGGAAACTAAGGAATCTCCACCACTGCAGATTTTTAAGAGCAGATGACAAAAACAGCTGTCTGGGTTGATCCAGGTACTTTGACCTACCTTTTGGGGTGAGATGGAAGTTTCCCTTTGGGCCAAGTAACCTCATATTTGTCTTCTACAAATTTCTTGTATCTTCCCCTGAAGCAGCAGGAACTGGGCAATGTAGAGGCAGGATCCTGGACCTGATGGTAATTTCAATATTCTTACATTGGGCTAGATTCTGCTCTCAGGAACAAAAGAGTAAATGGGGTCCCATGGAATTACTCTAGATTTACATAGAAAGAACTAAGTGGAACATCTGTGTGGTTACCCAGCTATCGCCATACCCTGCCTGCTTCTCATTTACCCCAAGGCTCTTATTGCTCTGCTGGTGTCAAGAGGTCTAATGTAAGAATCAGCCCTTTATCCCCTCATCTGGAACATGACATCTATTCAAGCATCTCAGTTTGCCAAAGATACTCTAAAGATAGTTAATTATAAACTTCACAGTTGGTTTCTAAAATTATGTAAGACATGTTGCTGGATGTAGATAGTGCCAGATGTAGATAGTGCTAGATGGAGACATATAATATAGGTGTAAAACAAACCCTCCTGGGGACCAGCAGAGCTTTATATAGACGATGATGGGTAAATGATACCCTGAAGTCCAGCTCCAAATGTAAAAGGCAGTTCCAGACACCCACAGCTTGGTTTAAAATGTGAGAGCATTAATTTCCCCCCATCCCTCTTGTTGCAAGCCCAAAGAGCCAACTTCACAAGTTTTACTGATTACAGATTTCACACACACACCCTTGGAATCAAATCCCCTGGCAGTGAACAGCTGGAATGAGACAGGAGGGGATCCCATTTCAGTGCCAAGCCCGCTGCCTTCAACAAGGAAGAAAAGTGGTAGCAGCGACCAGCCTGCAGAGCAGGAAAAGGCTGCCCTCCTGGCCCCCAGAGCTAAGACTCTGACGCTTTCTAGGTACTGAAAACAACGCTCAAACATTCTGGGCCTCATGGTCGCACCCTGACAAACAGGGAAACTGAGGCAAAGGAAAATATGCCACTACCACACCCCCGCCCCCACCCCAGGGAGCCATTGCAGTGCCTGTCCTGCCTCCCACAGACGGGAAAGGAACCCAGGAGTCCTGCCTCCCAGCCCCACTCTGCTCTAACCGCTCGACCCCACTTCCCTCTCACGAGAGAGACCGGAGCCCAAGCGTCCTGACCCGACTCGCGCCTCGGGAGCAGAACCCAGGAGTCCCGACTCTCCGCCAGCTTCGAGCTCCTTGGCAAGTGAAACTGCTGCGGTGGGTTAGGCGGCACCGCGGAGCACCGACCGCCCCGCGCAGCCACTCCCTACCCCCCCCCGGCTCACCCTCTGCCCCGGCGGCGCTGGCGGGGGGACTCCTGCTCCGAGCTGCAGCCAGCGACCGAGTGAGCGGCAGCCGGGCTCTTCCTTCCCCACCCTGCTCCTCGAGCCAGCGCACCAAGGGCTGCCCCCCTCCTCCGCGCTGCCGCGCGGGCCAATGCTAGAGCTGCACTGCAGCCCGCCGGAGAAGCGGCCTGCAAACTCCTCCCCGGGCCAAGTGCACGAGCCAGCCGCAGCGAGCGGGCAGACTGATTCGTGGAGCGCGCTAGGGCAGGCTTTGGGCTGCCCGTCCAGAAAGGGCTGCAAACGGGGGCGGACTGTTTAGTGGTGAAACTTGCCCTCCTCTTTCCCGCATTCTCAGAGGGCGGCGTCAGCTGCATGCCTAGAATGACCAGTGCCCCCGGCGTCCACGGGGACGGATCGGGCACAAGATGCAAGAGGAAATGTAGGAGCTTCCTCCTGGGATTGAAGGCTAGTTTTCCGTATATCTAAGGAGCATGGTTTATCTGTGCATAGTATCCATAGATCGTCTCTGGATAAAAAGGCGTGGAGAGAGCGTGAATAAGATGCCTAGATAAAAGATACAATTTTCAAAAGCTCATAAGTGACTTAGGAGCATGCATCCTGTTGAACGTCAATGGGACTTTGCTGCTAAGTGATTTAGATGCCTTTGAAAATTCTTCCCAAAAGAATTTCAATTTCTGTACATAAAAGGCAGATCCCCTGGGAATTAAGGGAAAAGATTGGCCCTGTGCCTAAACTCTGTACAAGAGTATGGAGTCCCTGTGTATGAAATGCATGGCTTGTGGGTAAGAGATGGACTTTAAGAGGTCCCTAAGTAATTTAGGAACACAGTCCCATTGCCATTCAATGTCACTTCTGCTCCTAAATCACTTAGGTGTTCAGAAATTTGAGAGTCAGAATTATGAGACTGTCTTGAAAATCATGAGATTCTTTTAAAAATTAATTGCAATTTTTTTAAAATTTACCTTCTGCATTCTGAATATTTCAGATGCTCTCATTTCCAACTTCTCTACAGCCATTAGGGTTAGACACTTACCTTTTATTCTTCTTAATGGAAGCTGAGATTCTCACGCATTCTCTTGATTCCAGTCAATGTGACTTTAGGGAAACCACCAAAATCACAAGAATCGTGAACAAATCACAAGAGTTTTTCAACACTGCAAAATGCATGCACCCTCAGTTAACAAAATGCACAGATTGCCACAGCATAAAAAGTGCTGAGTCTCAAAGAACAAAATGCATGGTTTATGCATGAAGTGCTTGACCCAATATGCCTGCTGAGTGTTTCCATTGACTTCAAGAGGCTTTGGATCAGACCCAGAGTGCATGGATTCTCTAGGGATCCAGTGCACAGAGCTAAGCAAATTAGTCATCTAGCTAAATAAAAAGTATAAATCAGTATGCCTGCAGCATGACATCTCTGTAATTTCTCGGCCAACTTTCACTGGACAAGCTGCTCGAAAGATTGTATTTAAGTTGAGCCTTTGCCAACCCCAGCTGGAAATAGCCTGAGTATTTATTTACATTAAAAACTCATATTGTATCTCCATCTTCATCAGCATTAAACAGTTTATCTGCATAAAGAAGATGCACTGATAAAGGTTTGGTGATGCACCCATTTGGATAAACCGTTGAACTAGCCCTATGAGATTTCTTCTTGTGTAGGCCTAGCAGAGGCTCTGGGGGCATGTCTACAATAGGAAATTATTTCAAAATAAGTTATTTCAAATTAAACTCCCAAAATAATAATTTCGAAATAGCATGTCCACGCTATGAGGAAGCCTCAAAATTAGTCCGAGGCAGGCTCCGTTAATGTGGATGTGCTACCTTGACTTAGAGGCCCACGAAGCACTGGGGAATAATTACTTTGAATGACTGGGAAGTAGATATTTCAAAATAGCAACAGTGGAGCGTCCCTACTGCTATTTCGAAATATCTATTTTGAAATAAGCATCAATCCTCATGGAAAGCAGGAGTTAGTATTTCAAAATAACCAGACTTATTTCAAAATAACGGACTTAATAGCGTGAACGCTCCACTTATTATTTCAAAATAAGAAGAGTTATTTCTAAGTAACTCCCTAATGTAGACCAGGGCTGGGAGATTAAAACTCTGTACCAGATCCTTAGTTGCTGTAAATTATAATTCAGGCCAATGGCGTCTGATCTACTTTAGTTGAGGATTTTAAGAAGAATGTTCTTACTTTTTGTCATTAGCAACACGTTAGGTTATTAGAGGAAAACAGAGGTGTACAAAATGGATGGACTAGAAGAAGATGAACAGAAGAAAAATGTAACATCTACAGAGTTGCCAGATGGTTTCAACAAAAATATCGGACACACTTGACATTACATCACAATCTACATTACATCTTATTTAGAAAATACTGGACATTTATATTTTCTCATTTATATTCTCTCAATTTGTTTCCCAAACAGAAAGCTCAAATACTGGACTGTCCGGTTTAAAACCGGACACCTGGAGACCCTAAACATCTACACTGGAATTTTCATAAATTCATAGAGTTTCAGTCTGACCTCCTGTATATCACAGGCCAGTCAATGTCCCTCACCTACTCCTGCGGTGAGCCCAGGATCTGGTTTTTGACTAAAGCATAATTTAAGAGGCTATACGCCATCTTCTCGAAAGGCATCCAGTCTGGATTTGCAGACACATCCCATGGGACTTTGTCAGTGCCAGACCGAGCCATACTTGCGCCCCGGGCAGCAGGTGCGCGGCACACGCGCGCCCTACCCCCGGGCACGCGTCACCTAATTGACATGGTAAGGGGCGTCGTGCTCCCAGGCGAGCGGCACATGCGCGGCCACACCCCCGGGCGCACCGCACCCCTTACCACTTCAATCAGGTGCCCCCCAAAGGTTGGCACCCCAGGCAGCTGCCCAGCTAGCCCCCCTGCTCAATCCGGTCCTGGACTTTGTTCCAATCACCTTTTGTGGTTAATTGTGCCTAATTTCTAATTTGAGTTTGTTTGACTTGAGCTTCCAGCCATTGGTTCTTGTTCTGCCTTTTCAGCTTGGCTAAGAAGCCACTTGGTACTCTGATGTTTCCTACCTATGTCACACTGTAATCAAGCCACCTTTTTGATAAACGCATTGAGTTCTTTCAGTCTCTCCTTGGCAGGAAGTGTCTATAGCCCTCAAATCAGTTGTGCGCCTCTTTTCTGGACCTTCTCCAATATTCCAACTTCCTTTTTAAAATGTGGACACTAGAATCAGGGTCACTGAGAGCTGCCAGCTCTTAATAATTTTATTGCAAAACTTGAAAAATGGGATGTTTTCCTTAAAGCCTATTTCTCTAGTCATGTGATTACACAAGACTCTCACATTTCATTTTTTTAAAAGGACATTTCTAACCCTCCTAGTTCAATTCTTGAAAACATTACCTCTAAAAAGCCCCAAACCACATTTATTTATGCAGGGCCACAAATCACTCCAAGGAGAAGATGCTGTTTGTTTTACTCCTGGCAAACGTGACACTTTTCTGAAGCGATAAAGGCATCAGAAAGTTGGCAAACAGACACTCCACACAGTCCCAAGGTACTGTGTCTTGCTGGGTTTCTACATGTTGGCAGACTCACACAGTGCAAAAAACACTTTGGAGGTTCCTGTGAGGTTTATATCAGCCACTCTGTCCAATTAAACATTTGTTACTAATGCTGATTGTTTTCTCACACTGCCCATCCAGCCAGACAGATAATTTAAAATAAAAGCCTGTAAACGAGATTATCTGTGCTGTGAATTTGTCTCTCTATCCAAACCAATAATTTACAGGGCTGCCAAAGGAAGTCGCAGGAGCACCTATCCCATTGCTTGTGTTGTTACAAAATACGGGTGCCATCTGCTGCAGCAAAGATGCTGCTCAGTATAGCTGCTGGGACACAGACCAGAGTGTCTGCCAGGGCAGAACATGGTGACCGATAATGATCCTTTGTCTGCCTGGAGTGTTGTCATGCAAGCATCTCAAAGTATTTCCCATTGGGGGAAAATGGTGCTTTGACATTACTCACCAAGTCTACACTGCAGTTAGACAACCATAGCTGGCAGCTGACACAAGCTATGGGGCTGTTGAAATGTCATGGTTTCAGAGGGGTAGCCGTTTTAGTCTGTAACCGAAAAAAAACCCCTCTTAAAAACAACGAATAGTCCTGCAGCATTTTATAGATGGTATCATGAGCTTTTGTGGGCACAACCCACTTCTTTGAGAGGTGTTTGGGGCAGAGCCCAGGCTCTGGTACTTTCCCACTTCACAAAGCCCAGGCTACGCCCAAGCCCGAAAAGTCCACACTGCATTTAACAGCCCAAGTTAGCTCACATAGGCCAGCTGGGAGGGTTTAACTGCACTGTAGACATCTCCCAAGTCCGTGGTCCCCAACACGGTGCCCGCGGGGGCACTTCCATGCGCCCGCCAGGTGCTCGGGGCTGGCCTGGCACTGGGCGCATGGCGGAGGGAGTGCCGGCCCCGGGCGCGCGGCGCTGGCGGGGGGGGGCGCCGGCCCCGGGCATGCAGCTATGGGGGGGGGCCGCCCCCAGGGCGCAAGTGTCCCTGCCCCCTGGCGGGCGAACAGCCACGCCCCCTGGCGCCCGACAACCTCGAAAGGCTGTCCTAAGTGGTAGAGTTGGGAATGGAACTCGAGTGTCCTGGCTCCTAGCTCCCTATTCTAATCACTCCTGGTCACATACCTTGCTTGCTATATGGACCACATTGCTAAAGAAGCTTATTTATTTTGCCAGCACTTCCTAAGCTCAGTGATCATTTCTGAGAACAAATACATGGATTTCAGAGGAATTGGAGGCAGAAAGTGAAAGCAACATAGTCTAACTTGTGGTTCTCAAACAATTTAGCATCGTGGGCTACTCTGCAACTCACAATGTAGTTCCTGGCCCACAGATTGAGAACCACAGTGAACAGCCCAACAGCCCCACCAGACCCCCATGCCCAATGCCCTGGCTTGCCTATCAACTTCTCCACAGAGTGGGGCCAGGAGCAGATGCCAGGCACAGGGCAGGGGGCAGCCCCTACCCTCCTGATCCTGCCACATGGCATCTCCAGCCCTGGACTCCACCAGATGGCAGGCAGGGCAGCCCCAAGCCCAGACCCAGCTGCATTGGGCAGGGCAGCCTGGCATC